CAGCATGCTGGCTGGGGAACTCTGGGAGTTGAAGTTCACACCTCTTAAACTCGCCAAGGTTGAGAAACACTGGTCCAGAAAGTCATATTATAACTGATCAACTGAAGAAGTTGATCAGAAAGACAAGTTTGTTAGAGTTAGGACTAAGGTGCGTGTCTGGGGGCAAAGATGATGGGTGTGAATGAGCAGGGCTCCAATAGTTTGGTGCCAATCTTCCAGACACGTTCACACATGGCAGCATCTCATTGTACCAATGGCCCACCGGTGGCTAAAGAGATGCCCAGAGGACTCCCAAGCAGGTCCCATTAGAGCACAGCCCCTCTGATTAGGGGAGTTAGCCATCATTGGCTGAGCTCAAAAAGCTAAACCAGGCTGTATTTAAATGGGGCACCAGCAGGAGATCCCAAAGCTTAGGTTAGACTGGGAAGGTGAAGAAGAAAATGATACACAATATTGTCTTGTGGCCATGAGGTTCACCAGGAGCTGAACTTCACACAAGGGATTTTTGGGCAGGTGAGAGATGAGAAATAAATCCTGCAGTGATATTCTTCACTTCTGTATTGTTTCCTGAAGGGCACTGACCGGTCCCAAAAGAAACGAATACTCCAATACTTTGCGGTTGAAAGGGAAATAGGGTAATTTGAAATAGTGTACTATCTTGGGACATTTCTACACTGGGGATTTATAGCAAAATTTTCATCGGTGTCTCCTCAAACTTCAGTGGGCTTTCTCCCCAGAAACTGGAGAGGAGGTAGCATGATCAACTGTTTTCCATACAAATAAAGCATACAATCTTTGTAAAGGAGCTATTTGCATTCATAACTAGCACACTATTTTGTGACAAAGAATGAATTCTACTATATTACCTGCTTTATTTATCCATCTGTTTTATTGGAGTATTTTTTTTTCCATTTAGAACAGCTCCTTGTCTTTTTCAATTTCTCAAGGCAATTTTTTTTTGGGGGGGTGGTGGTGGGGTTAGCTAAGACTTTGAGACCAACCATCCTCCAGCTGGGGCCTCCCAGATGTGTTGAGACTTGAAGATTTCTGCAGTTTTGTTACGAAGGGCAATGTAAATATGCCCTTCGTAACAAAATGAAGAAATGGCTTTTATACTTTTCATTCATACCTTTAGTTCTGCGGTGGAGGAATTTATGGAACAGAAAATTCCTGGCCTTCTAACAGATCCTGAGTGGCAAAGGTCTTGCTCGGGGATGTGGTTCAGATCGCTGGGAAACGCTCGTTTTCGCTCGCCATCCTTCAGGATAGTCAAGACCGAAAAGGTTAATCCTTAGACGGGGCACCAGCGTTTCCTTTCAAGACAGAGAACAAGCCCCCTTTCAGACTATCCAGAACCGATGGAGGAGGGCACCTGCCACGCGCGGGGGGGCGGGGCGCTCCGATCTCCCCGGCTCTCCGTCCGCTCCGAACTCGGCGCGGCGGAAAGG